TGGCAACAGTGGGAAGGAAAAACTCCCCTTTAACAGGAAGAAACCTCCGGCAGAACCAGGCTCAGGGAGGGGCGGGGCCATCTGCTTTGATTGGTTGGGGTGAGAGAAGGAAGACAGGATAAAGACATGCTGTAAATAAGGGACAATAATCAATAAGTTTGGTTTATTTGATTATATGAGGGTTAACATGTTTATATTATTTCTTGTATTAATTCTCTTGGTAGACTCGTTCTACATTCCTGCCTTAGTGCTCCCCACTCCTGTGTCAAGTATCCTATAAGTTCATTCCTGCATCTGTGTCTTCTCATTTAGTTACCACTTCCTCTTTTACTTTGAGAGTTTCTGGTGCTTGGCTTTTACTTTTACTTCATTTGTTCTGTCTGCTGTCATCTGCTTCCTGTGTCATGTTCTCCCTAGCTGTCTCCACTCCCCCAATCACCCTCCTGTGTATATATAGTTGCTGTCTTCCCTTTCTTTCATAATCCGAGCATCAGTTGTGTTCCTGTTCTTGGCCCTTGGCGTGTCACTATTGCCTTGCATTGTTGAAGTTTGAGGGCTTGTGTTTACCTGTGTTTTTTTCCCAGTGTAAGTTTCTGTTCAGAATACGTTTTTCAGTTCAGTTTTGTAGGACTGTAAACCATTTGGGAGTGGCTGTAGCTCAGGTGGGAGAGCAGGTCATCTACTTGGTTCGTGATCCCCGTCTGGTCAAGAGGTTGGAGAGCGGGGTATGTCATCTATGAAATTGTGTGGACTGACAGAGGCAACACAGATTTACCAACCACAACCTCTGAAAACTGTGGAAGGAGGCAGAGGTTTTCTTTCTGGTGAGCATGGTGAAACAATCGTTCAGCCAGTCGTTCCCTGTTCTTTTTTGATGTCCATCTCAGGGCAGATATTGCCAAATTTCAGGGTTGCCCATAGGATGTGTTCTCTTGACTGCCAGGCTGCATTAGCCACATACAGCACCACACAGCTTGTTTGGTAACTCAACCACCTTTCAGCTCCTCACAAATCAGGTGCTGCATCCCAATGCTGCATATACTGCCAC